TTGTCCCAGCTGGACAAACCAAGGTCAATTGCTCCGAATTTTATGAATCCCAGCCAACTCTATGATTGTATCAGGACACTACTTTCTCACACTGTATAACAGATTATTTCTTAAAAGTTCAGTCTATACAAAGCTCCTGGAAGAAGATATCTTCCCTTCATAATTGTTCAAGGAACACTCCAAGCTACAGGCTCAAATTTTTCCCCATGTATTTATGCAATATAGCAGTACTGAGCAGTACTGAGGACATAATCCATTTACTGTTTTAAAGAACCACCTCTTCTGTCTAAAATTAAGGCATTTAATGGTTATTTCAAATGTATGGCAAGTCTCATTAATAAATTGGGAACCTCAATTTCTCAGATTAGTATTTGATATAAGGCATTGCACATTACTGGCTTCCCCAGTGGCTTAGCGGTAAAGATTCCTCCAGCAATGCAGGAGATGCAGGAAATGCGGGTTCAATCACTGGGTCGGGAAGATCCCCTGGAGGAAGAAATGGCAACTCACTCCAGTATTCTTGCCAGGAGAATCTCACAGACAGAAGAACCTGGTAAGCTGCAATCCATGGTGTCACAAAGAGTTGGACACAACTGAAGTGATTAAGCATGCACGCATAGCACATTACTTTTTACCAATGGCCATCATAAAAACAGCATATGATCACAGCTTGTATCAAGTTCTTGACATTGACTCCAAAGAATCAGGTAAGAGTAGTGTGATGATACAATTTATCATTCAAGCCAGGACACTGTTGTGCATATGCCAGAAGTTATACTTTTACTTAAAATTTAGAGGATTAAAATACAGCTATCAATATAAGCCTTCCCATGGAAGCAATTTTTATTGGGTTTAATTTCATCTTCAGAGACAATTGGGCAATTCCAGGACTTTTATAATGGCTGTGGATCTACTCAACACTGAAATGCCTTAAATGTTTAAAACTGGAGCAACACACACACATTAAAATGTTCAACATCATGTTAAAATTAAAATTTGGATCATTCTTTAAGATGTTTTTAATGTTCATATTTGTTTCTTCATTTCAAACAAATGCAGGAGGCAGAACCAGTAAAAAAGCAAGAAAGCAAAATTTCTGGAAAAAATACTTGACATTAACATAACATTTTCAGTAAATATTTTCTACAATTAGGAATGTTTCCAAAAGGTATCAGAGAAACTGAAGACTTATGACAATAAAGGAAGTGCTATGAACAATCATGCCAGAACAACAGGCATTTAAGCATCTAGGACTCTTCAGGCCACCAGGACTTAACAGTCATCATAGGTACATTCCCAGGGATCTATGTGTGGTCAGTTGCTACATTGCATCCAACTCTTTGCTACCCCATGGACTATAGCCCACCAGGCTCCTCTGTCCATGGGATTCTCCAGNGCAGGGAGGAGTCAGAGTGCCTTGCTCTTGTTGGGCGGAGGTGGAAGTCCAGGGTCTCTGTGTCTTCAGGGACACTGCTGAGACTGACACTCAGTATCACCAGCACTCATAACACCTGCTGAGGATGAATATTCTGGTTCCTATATTATCGAATTAAGTCATATGGATCTTGTTCAGGCCGAGCTCAGTGGAGGCTCTCTGCTTCAGAAGGGGAGGATTCTTTTTTGAGTAGGCAAATAATGAAACCGACGCTGAGATCAACACAGCACAAGCTTTGGTTGGTTGGCCAAGGAATGGAGAAGCTGGAACTAACTTTACAGATCAACTTCTTGCCCACCTGGTGAGAGGGATTTAATTGTAAAGAATAAAGACAAAGAGAGGAAGAGTGAGGTGGATGATGGGGAATCACATGCACTAGTCCACAAGTGAAGGGAAGGGCTTTTTCCAAGGGAGTGTGCCACCTCTTTTTTATCCTTTTTTGGTCCTTAATTTCTGGTCCTGACCACCTGTAGTTGTGTCATTTAATATGCTAATGTGATTAAATTAACATATAATGTGATTCAAGGTCTATTGGAAGCTAGATTTGTCACCATCATAGTCTCAGCTTGTTCCATCTGTGTGTGTGTATGTGTGTTTATGTGTGTGTATATAGCTTCCCTTCTTAACTCTGAACACTTCACCTTAAAGATTTATGTTCTGTCCCACTAATGGGCTTCTCTTGTAGCTCAGTCAGTAAAGAATCTGCCTGCAATGCAGGAGACCCGGTTCGATTCCTAGGTCAGGAAGATCCCCTGGAGAAGGAAACGGCAACCCACTCCAGTATTCTTGCCTGCAGAATTCCATGGACAGAGGAGCCCGGCGGACTACAGTTCATGGAGTCGCAAGAGTCAGACGTGACTTAGTAACTAAATCATCATAGAAGCCCTGAGGTACTGTACTTGTGTTTGTGGGTTTCAGGGAACAAGGTAAGATGTATATAGTTACACAAATACTGAGGTACATACATACAAAAGGAAGAAAGCTTATGAAACCACCTGACCTCCTTTACTCATCTATGAAATAAGATGATTAGGTACTGTAATATCCTCATCTCCCCAGTACTAATAGCATGTAACTCTAAATTTTTGTTTCTCCAATTGACTCAGCCACTGATTTCTCTGAACACCCTGAGGCAGATTCTACTCCTCAACCTCTCCATCTTTGAAATACAGTCACATTTTATCCATATTCCTTACAACTTTATAAAACAACATGGTCTCTAAAACAGACCTATTTACTTTTCTATAACACTAATTACAGCACCAGGAGCACCCATGAACTGTACTGCAATGCTCTAGAATATCACTTTGAATCACTTCCTTTCTGACAGGCTACCATCCTCCCCACCACCACCGCCCCCCAGCACACACACAGAGCTCTGATTTCATATTAACCAACATAAATTATTTCTTACAGTCACCTTCCAAACCCACCACAAAATTTTCATTCTGGTTTTCTTGCATCAAGAGCATAACAGAAGGAAAACATTTTCACTTTTTAATAGATGAACCGATACTACTTCAATATTGCTACACTAATTCAGCTGAAAAGACTATGAGACAAAATGCAAAATTGCCACCTTCCAGGCAGTGACCGAGAAGCAGTGTAACCTAGTGGTTATTGTGGTGTAAGACTGCCTCTATTCCAATCCCAGCTCTGCCACTCTCTAGTCCTGACTTCAGGCAAGCTACCCAAGAGCTCTGTGCCTATTTTCTCACCTGTGAAATGCGAGTAAGCTAACACAGAATCAAATGAATGAATACAAGTAAAGCAATGAAAGATGCCTAACACCTAGAAGCATACAATGTTGACTATCATTATCACTCAGTCAAAAAAGCTATAGAATTTACTAGACTAATGAATAGCATCTGCAACGAATTGAGCTGTAATTGCTAATAATAGTAATACAGATGCATCAAATTTCTTTTTTCAATAGACATTTTGTTTCCTTTTTGGACAGTAGTTGTTCAGTCCTTCAGTTGTGTCTGACTTTTTGCTACCCCATAGACTACAGCACACCAGGCTTCCCTGTCTTTTGCCATTTCCCAGAGTTTGCTCAAATTCATGTCCATTGAGTCGGTGATGCTATCTAACCATCTCATCCTCTGTCACCCCCTTCTCCTGCCCTCAATCTTTCCCAGCATCAGGGTCTTTTGGACAGTAGCAAACTACTAATCTGTAAGGAATATAAAACACAAGATGGTGAAATGATCTCAATTACATGCCAGCTTTCTCCTGGTATAATAGAAAGCAGCACAAGTCACTAATACATTAAAAGATTTATGGAAATATATGCATGACAATTATGTCAGTATTTTCCTACCTTCATTTTTGAAGTATTTGCACTCTCTCTTGGAGGTTAAAGAAAAAAAGCTGAAATGAATGGAGGAAGATCAAGGTCTTAAGACACTCTTAATGGCTGTAAATAAACAAATATGTCTAACATGGCCATGTGGTAAATCAATCCCCAAAACTTGGCCCAATTCACTGACATTTACATTTTACCAGCAGCACAGTGATAAAGAATCCATCTGCCAATGCAGGAGGCACAAGAGATGTGGGTTTGATCCCTGAGTCTGGAAGATCCCCTGGAGAAGGAAATGGCACACTACTCCAGTATTCTTGCCTGCAGAATCCCATGGACAGAGGAGCCTGGCAGACTACAGTCCACGGGGTCGCAAAGAGTCAGACATGACTGAGCACACACAGAGAGAATGCCTACCCAGACTGCAGAAGCAGTCACACACATGGTGCTTCTTATGAACTACACTTCATAACTGACATAACTTGTGTAATTTTTTGAAACATTAACTTAATTCATTAAGTAAAACTAACCATAACCTTTTGACATTGGTTCCCCACAAGAATAGCACTTACCCTCCCTTCCCTCAGAAACAATGAACTATTTGTGTTTAGAGGAAGTGATTCTTCTCTTTATTTTAGGCTCATATACAGCCTGAGTTTTATGTGCCAATTTTGGAAAGCAATTCTAAAACTCACATCATGAAACGTGAGTTATGAGCCCATGGAGAATTGTTTCAGTTTCCTGAGGGAGCTTAATATTTAGCCCCGCCATCTGGAGAGCAGTCCCCATGTTACTCCAACAGCATGCCTACCCCCCTCCGTAGATTTAGTTTGGGTCTAAATTCCGCCCCCTCAATTGATTTAAAGGCTGACCACTGCTCGGTGACATCACTCTTCAGTCTGGTACCATTCCTTACAGTGTTTAAATCCGTTACATCATGCAGGCTGAAGTCTCTCTTCTGGAAGTCAGAATGACTAGTGTTACACAAAGCAGACATCAAACACTCGGCTGACAGAGGCTCTGTTTAGAGGCATCTCCCAACTCATCACCATCTCCCTGTTGAACAGTTCCTTTCCTCTAAGTCACTTCCCAAATCTCTTTGGGTGTCATGCTGTAACAGGAGGACCTCATTTTATATCATGCTTCCAACTCACTATGTACTATAGTGATCTATTATATTAGATTTATTTTATTTATATTAGATTCATTTATTTTATCTGTATTAACTATCATATAGATTTATTTTCCTTAACACTTCACCAGAATCTGAAGAGGTCAATCTTCACTCTAGGGTTCCTAGAAAGGTCTAGATGTGTTTTTTTTTTGTTGTTTAGTCACTAAGTCATGCCCTGTGCTTTGTGACCTCATAGACTATAGCCCACCAGGCTTCTCTGTCCATGGAATTTTTCCAGGTAAGAATACTGGATCAGGTCACCATTTCCTCCTTCAGAGGATCTTGCTGACCCAGGGATCAAACCTTCATCTCCTGCCTTGGCAGGAGGATTCTTTACCACTGAGCCACCAGGGAAGCCCAGAAAGATCTATATACCTGTCTTCTGTAACCAACAAAACAATTTTTTTTGCTTGATTTATTTTTACCTATTTAGTTATTTCAACCAATGTAACTCTTGGAGGCCATCCAGTCATTACTCACATTCTTCTAAGTTGGATCACAAAGAAGCCACCCCCAGGGAATAGCTTGCCTCTGTGAGATGGTGCATCTCTGCCTACCTGCAGATTTCACTATCACATTTGAAGGCAGGAAAAATATCATTCAATAACATGCAGCTTGTCACAATTGCTTTTTTATCATCTGCCATTCTGGCTTTTCCTGTTCTGGTTAAACTTGGATAATTGTCTTATGAGGTTAGTATATCATCCATTTTATTCACAGTACCCACCCTCTCTGACTTTTCTTCTTCTCCCTGAAGAGTAAACCAAGATAGCTACACAGAAGGTCGCAAGTGACTGGAGCAAAAGCCTTTCCCATTTCAAGAGCTTTAAAATGAAACACTTCTGTCATTCAAAACCACTGCATGTCTGCTTCATGCCCAACACTATTATAGGGGCAGCTGTGAACAGCTCAAGCTGAGCATGTGTGTGTGATCCTATGCATTGTCCGTTTGAGTGGGAAGGAGATAGACAGTAAACAAGCACACACACAGCACATAACACATCAGGTGGTTATAGGACTTGGAAGGAAAACCGATCAGAGTAAAGGAAAAGTCCATGCAAGCTGTTGCAGGTGTGGGAGTGTGTGCGCTCCGTTGCTCGGTCACATCCAACTCTGTGCGACCGCATGGACTCCGTCCGTGGGATTTTCCAGGCAAGAATACTAGAGAGGGGTGCCATCTCCTCCTCCAGGGGATCTTCCTGACCCAGGAATCAAAATGGTGTTTCTTACATCTCCTGCATTGGCAAACAGATTCTTTACCACTAGTGCCACCGGGGAAGCCCGATAGGTGTGGGAGAGCTGCTATTTGAACTAAGAAGGCACAACATCTGGGTAACGTAAATATGGTAGAGAATACTTGCTAAACACACCACTCCAGAGCCAGGCCACTTGGGTCGAATCCACTTGGGTTGTAAATGTAATAGCCGTGTAAATGTTCTACTTATGCTGCATAATAAACCACCCCAATGCTCTGTGGCTTAAAACAATAATTATTTCACTCATGAATCTGTGTGTTGGAAATTCTGACAGTACAGCAGAAAGTGCTTATCTGTATATGCAATGTCTGGGGCCCCACCTGGGTGACCTGAAAAGCTGGGGGCTAAGCTGTGACAACTGGGACTCACTGAGCATCAGTTCTTCTGCACGGGGTCCTCTCACTTGGCCCCCATCAGCCTCCTCCCAGCATGATGATGTCAAGGTATCTCAAAACTCCAAGAGCAAACTCTTCTTGTCAAGAGACAAGAACTGAAAGCTGCCAAACACTTCCCAAACACCGGCGAAGCATCACTTCTGGCATATTCTATTAGCCAAGGCAGACAGGTACGCTGGGAGGTGATCTCACTCAATGAGAGAGTGTCAAAGAACCTGTGGACATTTTTACTCTGCCAGAGTGACCTCGGGCCAGCTCCATTACTTCTCCACAGCTCCATTCCTCAACTGTTAAGATGGACAATAACTGAATCTACATCTTAGCTTTGTGAGAAAAGTTAATTAGTTAATAAAAGTAAAGAGTCTGGAAAACAACTAGCATTCAATAGGTATTCATTGTTTTATTGCTTTCAAGCTATTTTTAATATTCTTTTAGTATGAACACTGCATTTAAAATAGCATTTTCCGGGGGCTTCCCTGGTGGCTCGGTGGTAAAGAATTTGCCTTCCAATGCAAGCGACACGGGTTTGATCCCTGATCCAGGAAGATCCCACATGCCACAAGACAGCTAAGCCTGTGTGCCAGAACTATGGAACCTGTGCTCTAGAACCTAGGAGCCGCAACTACTGAAGCCCTAGAGGCGGTGCTCCACAACAATAGAAGCCACTGCAACGACAAGCCCAAAGCACCACAGCTAGAGAGCAGCCCCTGCTGGCCGAAGCCAGAAAAAAGCTGGTGCAGCAATGAAGACCCAGCACAGCCAAAAAATAAAATTTAAATAGAATAAAATAGCATTTTACCCTTAGACACAGATCCATTGGACTTTAAATGCAGATGATGGCAAAGAATCTGCCATCAGATATTTCTTTTGGAAATGTACAAAGTTTGGCTAGTTTTACAATGAATAACAATAGCTCTGCCCCCTCAAGTTCCCCATCCCCTATACACACACACACTGAATCCCACGCTTCTTCACTCTCAATCCCAGGAATGGGTTGGTAAAAAAGGTTCTTGGTCAGTTGCAAAGGGGTAAGAGAAAAGAAAAAGACTAAGATAAAATCAAGGCTGTTGCTCTGATCTGTTAATTTGCCAACACAGAAAATAAACCAAATACAAGATCTATGTCTCCCTTTTACTGATGGGTATGTAACTCTGCTGAGAAGGACAAAAAAGAAAAAAAAAGCAGCCTTTCATTAGCAAGAATTTCTTGAAAAGGAAGAAAAAACAAAAGCTATTTTAAAAAAAATAAGTCAAATATAAAATCCAGTCAAATTTGTTCTCAAGTGGACACATTGATTTATGTTCTGTTTAACTTTTCCCTTTTTCCCCTCCAACTCACTGTGGAAACCTCATTTAATAGATGAGAAAACAGTGCATTGAATCAATCAACGTTGATTAAATTACATTTAACATCTGTTGCAGATTCAGAAACGTGAAGATTTGAGGGAGATTTTGTGATCTTCATTCTCATCTCAACTTGGAGCCAGGATGTCCACACAACCTGCCAGACAGATGGGATTAGTCAGCACTGAAGGATGGATGAGGTGTTCCTTTTGTGGGAGGTATTTATATACTTGTCACTTGGTCATGAAATAGAGACAGCTTAAATGTGCATTTACCCAAAGTGGAAGAATTATTTCAGAGGGTGGCTTGTCGCCATATGTTTTCTTTTCTATTCAAGTTTTTCCCCACTGTTTACAATTAACTGGAGAACAAAAGATTGGGGAGAATCCCAGAGATGATGTCATTCAGTATCCCATTATGTAATAATTATTCAGTGGCTTACAACAACAATGTATTATTCTCCTAATTCTGAGCTCACATGAGCAGCTCCTCTGCTCTCTGTAGTATGGATGAAGCTTCTCAGGAGGCTTAATCAACTGGGAGTTTGGCCTCCCTCCAGGAGCCTGTCATCATTGAACTGTCCAGCCCAAGCTTCTTTTCAGCAGAGCACCTTGCTTCCAAGATGGAAAATTCCCAGAGGACAGGCTCCACTATACAAGCACTCATCAACCCTCCACTTGGGTCATGTTTGCTAATGAGTTATTGGCTGCAGCAAGTCACATGGCTGAGCTCAGAGTCAATTTGCAAATTACCTCTCTCCTAATTTGATACTGTCATAAATTGGGCTCCTTGAAAATCGACTCTAAGACAGAGATAAGCATACAAGAAATTTGCAGGGAAAATTACTGGGATCAAGGGAAGAAAGGGAAAAAAGCAGAATTTGGTGAAGGCAGTTTTCCTCTACAAAGCCAAACAGTCAACTCAGCTGATCCACCAAGGAACTCTGAAGCTGGAATGACCCTGGTCCTGAGACAGAATGAGAAGGCCAGGTCCATGTACCCCTGCCTTGACATTCACAGGCTGCAGGCTTCTCCAGCAAGGGATGTGACCTGGAGCAAGACTTATCTCCTCTGAAATGTAAGAGGTATCTGCCTTCCAGCAGCTGGAGGAAATTCCTAAAGGAAAATTTGGACAACTTACCCAGAGCCCATTCTTTATATTTAATGCAATATTTTTTCCATGGCTACATGAGGTAATGCATAGCAGCCCAAGACAAAGTTTGAACTTTATCTTCTACAATTTGACTTATATTCTGTTCAGCCACAGTTTGAGTCCAAGGTCTAATTGAGAATTCAGAGACCTTGAATTTCCAACTGACTGGGTTGTTTCATATCAAAAATGCATGTCAGATACACCAAGTCCATAAGATGCTCCTTCCTTCTTCCTTCTGAATTCCTAATGCAATTGTTTTTGGCGTATACATGCAACACAAGTATCATTGTTATATCCAGTTGCATCTACTGAACTGAGCTACACTGAAAAATTAACAAATTCAAAGAATAGTTTATTGATTTTGAAGCGGCCTGGTTTTATCATAATTTTATTAAATCCCAATAGAAAAATAGGGCATAAAGATAATACATGGTTTCTCTGTTGTGTCCCTATTGCACATAAATTAAAAAAAAATTGTTCATTGTCAGCTTAGTCTGCCAAACCAATCAGAACAATTGCTTTGACACCAAGAAGACTTTGTCTTCCTATCAGTTTATGAAATATTTCACCTCAAGTTATATCTACTGAAAAGAAAAACAAATTAAATTAAAATAGGGCGCGTGCGCACACACACACACACACACACACACACACACACCTCATTCATTGGCAATACAATAGCTTCCCTGCTTAAAATCAGCATTATCTAAAATCTGGAATTTGATTACTTCAAATTCCCTTGACACCCTCTACTTAAATTAACATTTCAGAGCACCAGGTTGAAGTCTCTCAAAGTCTTTGAAATTCAAAACCTGCAAGACACAGGCAATCTGCCAGTTATCTGGGGAGGAAAGTTGGCTTCTATGATTCTATTTCCCCAACATGCATTCCATTTTTATGTCATTCAGTCCAGTTCCACAAACCCTACTGAAGAGTTACTATGGCCAAGATGTGAGAGATTCAGAAGTTAACCCAAGACAGAGTCAGCCTCACAGATGTACCTGAGTGTGTGTATCTTCAGAATTCTGTAAGTTAATTACATAAATTGAAGCATATGAAAGTGAACATTTTTTAATCTACAAAAAAACAGCAATCCTATGTGGTTCAACCTAATAGAACTGAGGACAATAGAATTATTTTTATAACAGAATGAAAAAGTATTATGGGAAGCAGGAGAAGAAAATGTTAATTCTAATTATGGGAATTAGAGAAGATTCATGAAAGATTAAAAACTTGCCTTGATGGGTCAGTTTCAGCAGATAGATGGTTGATGGTAGCACAAAGGACCAGCTCAGAAGTAGTAGATAAGATAGTAAATGCTCAGAGATGTAGCGTTCATAGCTTAGTCTGGAAAATAACAGGTTCTTATATTATTTGGAAGTTCCAAATGCTTTTTCTGGAAAGTTTTTTCAACAAAAGTATACACGGTTTGTTGGTTTGTTTTATTTCGGTTTGGGTTTTATTTTTTGATGGGAAAGACTGGAGCCTCCTGGGATCAAACATACATATATACGTATTCTTTGCCACTATGGAGGGAAGATTTTTAGACCTTTGAACCACTATGGAAATAAAATCCTATAGCAACTGTCTAGAGAGGCTGAGATTTTTCCTTTTAGCTACCTGGAAAATGTAGAGATGCTATTTCAGGAAAACAGATGATGAAGCTCATGAAAGCATATCTTTCATTTAGTCAATAAAAATGTCCACCCACCTATTCTACCCACACTAAAGAATAGATAGGAATGAAAGCATGGCCTACACAGACCAAAAATAGGGGCAAAGCAAAGAAAGATACTAGAGAAAGATTAGCTTTAAACTCCTAATTTTGTTTAGAAAGTTTTCCTCAGGCAAAAGCATTTGTATAAGCATTTTCAGACAAAACTGAGATTACTGGTTATGCCCTTTCATTTCTAAGACATAAAACTGAACTCATTACTAACTGGCCACTGAAGGAATGAGTGTTGGTCAGAGCTCCTTGTTCATTATTTGTGGGTTCACGCTCAGTCCCTCTATTAGGGAAGGCTCCTCCAGGGATCACAGACCACATCTGTGGGAATAATCAAGTGTGGCAAAGATATACGTTGTTGTTCTCAGGGAAAATAAGAAAAGAGTGTGTATATGAAGTTGTTTAGATTCATCATAATGCTTGAGAATACAACCCCACTCCATTACCCAAACTAATCATGGGTCATGTGCAGTAGAAAAGGTTGCAGCACAATGTTGAGTCAGTACCGCCCATTACGGGAGCCACGGGCTTTCCAGGCGGCACAATGGTAAAGAACCTGCCTGCCAATGCGGGAGATGCAAGAGATGTTGGTTCGATCCCTGGGTCAGGAAGATCCCCTGGAAGAGAAAATGGTAGCCCACTCCAGTATTCTTGTCTGGAAAATTTCATGGACAGAGGAGCCTGGCAGGCTACAGTCCACAGGGTTGCAAAGAGACATGACTGAGAGACTGAGCGACTGAGCGTAGAGGCCTGGTAGCTACTAACCAGAGATGGCGAGTAAGTACCTGAAATGTGTATGGGCTGAGTTGTAAATTACAAACTGGATTTTGAAGGCTTAATAAGAAAAGCAGAATGTTAAATATCTCATTAATAATTTTTAAATTAACTACATGCCGAACCAATAACATTTTGACATATTGGGTAAATTGAACATATTATTAAAATTAATTCCACCTGTTTCTTTTTACTTCGTTGGCTGTGGCAACTAGGATATTTAAAATTATGTATGTGGGTTGCACTACATTTCAATGAGAGAGCACTGGTCTAACAGTCACAACCCAACTTCTCTAAGCCTCGGTTTCAGCTTCTGTAAAAAGAAGAAAATAACCATTGCCCTGTCTCACTGATCTGTCATCAAGATAAACTAACGCATAGCAAAGCATTTTGTAAAATGCTTTGTAAACTATTACATTTTGTAAACTATTACACACTATATAAATACAAGTGACTATCAAGAATAATTCCTTGTGAAAAAATGCTGCATGTTAAATAAAGGTGGTGAACACAAATTTTAGCTACTGGCATAGGATTTTAATGCACAAAATAAAACTAAGAAATGTGGATCTGCCCTCCAAACCTTTCAATGCTTTCAGTTCACATAAATCTAAAATACTAAGCATGCGAAGCCACCTGACAGGCTCCAGAATGGATGCAGCCCTCCAAAGGCAGGATGATATTCCACGAGCACGCTCAAGGGGTGAAGTAAGCTATTATCCTGCTCTCAGAAGTCAGCCTGGCTTGGCATCTGAAAGGGTGTAGTATTAGCATCCACCAAGGCAGTGAGCTTACCAGTACAGCATTGGCAGTAAACAGCCAGCCATCTGAACCCAGGGCTTATGACTACTGTTGGTCATCAAAACAATGGAATTTCTAACCTACCATAAAATGATAGAAACTGAGCCTCAATTGAAAAAAGTTAATATTCCTAACCTAGAAATTGTTTCATATTTTCAACCTTTTTTAAAAAATTATTGCATCTGAATTTCTTGAAAGTACATAGTCAGGGTCAAGAAATCTCAAGGACTGTGAGGCTAAGATAAATGAAGAAAGAAAGCATGAAGTCCACCTACACTTAAAGCAAAGGGATTCCCTCACCAAGCAGCACAACTTTAGGTGGATGGGCAGAACTCCAGGGAGGTAAATTGAAAGTCCCCAAATATAGATGCAGGAAACAGAGAGTCAGCCAATTTTATCTACCATGCAGCCTCATCTTCTGACATGTTATCTCACCTTTGAGAGTTTACACACTGATTACAAAACAGTTGTAATTTCTCCAAACACATCAAGCCTCAGGAGCTGTATGTGTGTGAATCTTGCGCCGGAACGGGCTTGCACTGTCCCCAATGGTGTTGCCCTGGCAACCTGCTAATCCTTCCTCAAGAGTCAGCCAGTGTCACCTCCTCTGGGAACCTCCCTCCAACACAGGCTACAGCTATCAGACCTGTGTTATAAAACTAACCTCCCTAGAATGCAAGCTGGTATGTACGGAAAACAGTACCATGCTTCCTCAAGCAATTACAAACCGAACTACCCCACAATCCAGCAATCCTCTCTGGGTATACACACCCAAAGGAAACAAACGGTTATCTTGAAAAGATATCTCAACTCCCAGAGTCACTGCAGGATCACGCACAACTGCCAAGATACGGAAACAATTCAGGTGTCCATCAACAGATGAATGAATAAAGAAGATGTGGTATGCATGTACACAATGGAATATTATTTGGCCTTTAAAAAGAAGGAAGTTCTGTCATTTTTGACAACATGAATGAACCCAAAGGGCATTGTGCTAAGTAAAAATAAGCCAGAAAAGACAAATGCCACATGGTATCACTTATGCACGTGTGCATGTATGCACAGGACTGTCTGACTTTGTGACCCTGTGGACTGTAGCCCACCAGGCTCCTCTGTCCATGGGGTTTTTCCAGACAAGAATACTGGAGTGGGTTGCCATTTTTTCCTCCAGGGGACCTTCCCAACCCAGGGATCAAACCCACATCTTCAGTATCTCCTGCATTGGCAGGTGGGTTCTTTACAATTGAGCGACTTGAAAAGCCCTGGTATCACTTATATGCGAAATTTTAAAAAAAAAAGTTGAACTCACAGAAACAGTAAAAAAGTGATTTCCAAGGGATTGGGCAGGGGTGACAGGTTAGTAAAAAGGTACAAACTCTCAGCTGTAAGGTGAATAAGGTCTACGGATCTAACATATAATGTGGTGACTATAGTTGATAACATGGTACTGTAAGCTGAAATTTACTGAGAGTAGAACCTAAACATTCTTAATAAATAAATCAGTAAATAAGTCGGTGCACATCTAGTTAACTTCATGGTGGAAATCCTTTCATGACATACATGAATACAAAGTCATCACATTGTATATTTTAAGCATCTTAACGATTTTGTCAATTACACCCCTGGAGAAGGAAATGGCAACCCACTCCAGTATTCTTGCCTGGGAAATCAAGTGAACAGAGGAGCCTGGTGGTCTGCAGTCTGTGTTACAAGTCGGGACATGATTTAGCAACTAAACCACCATCAGATGTTAGAATGATCACTAGCTGGAGCCTGGGGCAAGTACGTAGGAAGGTCAGTCCTGTGAGTAGAGTATCGGTGAAGCAGGCACTGGTCCAGCAGGGGATGTACGCAAAGCAAGAGAACACCCATCTTGAGTGGCCTGACCAAACACCCACCAACTTTGACAAGATTATAATCCTCAAAAACTTTCTATTATCACTATATTTGAGTGGATCACACTAAAAAGAAAATTTGGAGTCTGCTCACAATAGCCAGGCTTGGAGCTCAGGTGTCAGATGATGTATTAAAATGAACCAGCCAAGAAACATCCTATGAAAGGTCTCCCTTGGCAATGGTGGTGAGAGAGGGGCTTCTAAACTTCTAAAACCCTCCAGGCAAATGGGTCATTAATATCTGAAATGTTATAGAACAGCAATTAAGATGTAGTTGAACTGCTAGCCTCAAATCCTTCTAAGCCTTAGTTTCCTCACTTATGAAAGGAGGTTAATGAAACAACTGACTTCACAGGATTTCTGCAAGAACCAGAGAACTTAATTCATGTCAAGGCATTCATTAGTTCACATTTCTTCCACAGGAAGTGCTGAACTCCTTGTAGGAGCTGGAGCAGAAACAATGGCAGCAGTAACAACGGAAGTAGTTTAATTTGGGCATTCACACTTAAGGGAACACAGATGAAGAATGAAAAAAATTTCGAGAGAAAGAAAAGGAAGAGATCATTTCATGTGATAGAGGTAGTTTCTCAATTAGCTACATGGAAAATTTGTCACTTTTACCCTTCCACAGAGTCAGTCAGTCAGTTCAGTCGCTCAGTCGTGTCCAACTCTTTGCGACCCCATGAATTGCAGCACGCCAGGCCTCCCTGTCTATCACCAACTCCCGGAGTCCACCCAAATGCATGTCCATTGAGTTGGTGATGCCATCCAGCCATCTCATCCTCTGTTGTCCCCTTCTCCTCCTGCCCTCAATTCTTCCCAGCATCAGGGTCTTTTCCAATGAGTCATTTCTTTGCATCAGGTGGCCACAGTATTGGAGTTTCAGCTTCAGCATCAGTCCTTCCAATGAACACCCAGGACTGATCTCCTTTAGGATGGACTGGTTGGATCTCCTTGCAGTCCAAGGGACTCTCAAGAGTCTTTTCCAACACCGAAGTCCAAAAGCATCAATTCTTCAGTGCTCAGCTTTTTTACAGTCCAACTTTCACATCCATACATGACTATTGGAAAAACCATAGCCTTGACTAGACGGACCTTTGTTGGCAAAGTAATGTCTCTGCTTTTTAACATGCTGTCTAGGTTGGTCATAACTTTCCTTCCAAGGAGTAAGCGTCTTTTAATTTCTTGGCTGCAATCACCACCTGCAGTGATTTTGGAGCTCAGAAAAATAAAGTCAGCCACTGTTTCCACTGTTTCCCCATCTATTTGCCATGAAGTGATGGACGGGATGCCATGATCTTAGTTTTCTGAATGTTGAGCTTTAAGCCAACTTTTTCACTCTCCTCTTTCACTTTCATCAAGAGGCTTTTTAGTTCCTCTTCACTTTCAGCCATAAGCATGGTGTCATCCGCATATCTGAGGTTATTGATATTTCTCCCGGCAATCTTGATTCCAGCTTGTGCTTCCTCCAGCCCAGGGTTTCTCATGATGTACTCAGAGTAGATTGTATCAATCTACTATTCACTATTTACATGGGTGATTTTGTATATTTTTTCATATATCTATCACAAATCTGACGATTTCAATTTTCCCTCATCAGGGTCACTTTACATTAAACCGGAGCATTCCAGGGCCACCACCTTATACAATGTACACTTTCCTCTTGATTTAAACCTTAAGTCAGAAATGTGCAAAACTGCTAAACCGGGTAGTCTGGTGCTGACTGTAACTAAATGTTAAATTTTAATTCTTATTCATTTCCATTATCTATTTTAAAAAAAAAAACAAGACTAACAAACTAAAGTCTTCCTAACATTCTTCTTTCTTCCACACATAATTATCTAATTGACTCAGGTTTCCCACAAAAAGAATCCCACATGCAGAGTTCTGTTATTCTTAAACTCAAAAGGGAGAATGCTCAGTTTTTAAATCTATCCTGAACTAAATTTTTAGATTTGTTGGAAAGAAAAGCACAATTCCCTTTTCCAAAGCCAATATTTGAGTCGGTAGCCTGTAGCTTGCAAAGCTCTCACCCACACTTCAAAGTTCTGCAAGCTGCTATCCTTAAGCTGTTTCCTTAAATTGTAATCACCTGTTTTCTTAGTCCCCTCCTCATATTCCCTAGGAAACTTCTAAAGGAAAAAAATTTAATGAGTTTAGTAAAACAGACACTTGCTTCCAAATGTACATTATATCTTCCCACACATCTAAGACAAACATTATCTAGGTTTTGTATTTGATGAGGTGAAGCTGGAATCTTGACCAAACACTTTCCCATCTACACTCTAAAAAAGAGAAGTTGATAAATGTTGGCGAGGGTGTGGAGAAAAGGGAACGCTCTTACACTGTTGGTGGAAATGCAAACTAGTACAGCCACTATGGAGAACAGTGTGGAGATTTCTTTAAAAACTGGAAATAGAACTGCCATATGACCCAGCAATACCACTTCTAGGCATACACACCGAGGAAACCAGATCTGAAAGAGACACGTGCACCCCAATGTTCATTGCAGCACTGTTTATAATAGCCAGGACATGGAAGCAACCTAGATGCCCATAAGCAGACGAATGGATAAGGAAGCTGTGGTACATATACACCATGGAATATTACTCAGCCATTAAAAAGAATTCCTTTGAATCAGTTCTAATGAGATGGATGAAACTGGAGCCCATTATACAGAGTGAAGTAAGCCAGAAAGATAAAGAACATTACAGCATACTAACACATATATATGGAATTTAGAAAGATGGTAATGATAAACCCTATATGCAAAACAGAAAAAGAGACACAGATGTACAGAACAGACTTTTAGGCTCTGGGGGAGAAGGCAAGGGTGGTATGTTCTGAGAGAACAACATTGAAACAAGTATACTGTCAAGGGTGAAACAGATCACCAGCCCAGGTTGGATGCATGAGACAAGTGCTCAGGGCTGGTGCACTGGGAAGACCCAGAGGGATTGGATGGAGAGGGAGGGGAGGAGGGGATCGGGATGGGGAACACATGTAAATCCATGGCTGATTCATGTCAATGTATGGCAAAAACCACTACAATATTGTAAAGTAACTAGCCTCCAACTAATAAAAATAAATGGAAAAAAAGAGAAAAAAAAGAAAAAATAAAAAAGAGAAGTTGCCAAAAGTTCAAGTTCTTATATTAAACATTTTAAAGTCTTCTGAAAGACTGACCGAGGCATGTGCTATCTCTCCACACATACACCACGGTGTGTAAAATAGATAGCCGGTGGGAAGCTGCAATGTAGCTCAGGGAACTCAGCTCGGTGTTCCGTGATGACCTAGAGGGATGGGATGGGGTGGGGGAAGCTGGGGATGTCCAAGAGGGAGCAGATATATGTACACCTATAGGTGCTCCACTTCATGGTACGGCAGAAACTAACACAGCATTGTAAAGCATATTATACTCCAACTTTTTAAAAAAGTAGTAGAAACTAGTTCACATAAGGATCGCTCTCTGCCCATTTTCCAAGTTTGGCATGACTCCCTCTATCCTGATCAGCTTCCTACTTCTATTGGAAAATGGGCACACATAACTAACAATTTTAAGGACACTTCATAAATGAGTCAAAACATCTGCACTTAGTGTAGCAAACTGTTGTTGCAATTCAGTATGGCTTTCACTCCATTTCTCTGATTTGCCATTAAGAATCCACGAGAGTGAACTGCACTGTCACGGATTGAAATCTCTCACCACACACTGAAAATCTAAAGTCACAACCAACTGCACTAACAATTCCTCCACAAACCCAAAACCTTAAAGGTCAGATGTATTTTATTTTCTCCAACCTGGTCTCCTAAAAATAAATCACAGCTATATTTCCCTTCCTCGATTTAATTACCCTCTGGAGAAGGCAGGTTAGAGTTGGAGGGCGTCATTTAGCAGCTTCTGGGGAATTGGAACTGCTTTCATTTGCATTGCTTCTTTGTAACAAGAATTCAGACAGACTCTGACTTCTTGTCCCAGAAAAAGGTCACAGTCTATCATTAGGAGCATGAACGAGAAATGGTAACATGGATATTTTTAATGATAGACGTTAGAGGCATTGAAAACAAATAAGGTATTGACATTTAAAGTATTCATTTTTTTTAAACAGAGGGCACTATGGTGTCATTAGCACGTTCCTCATTATTGGTTTTCATCCATTTACCGAATCTCTGGGTTGGAAGGGGCAGTAAAGGTCATGGTGTCCAACTACCACCTGATCCCTCGAAAATTTTCCTTCCTCTGTGGTCAGTCTGATCTGTCTTCTAATAAATTACTTTTATAGTCAGTGAAGAGCCAAGTCATTACAATTTATATCCGATCTTCAATTTTATGCATTGGCTTTATCCTCTTTATTTTATTTGAACTCTAGAAAACAGTATTTTCAAAACGTCATAATTTCACTTTGAATTCCTTCAACTCCTTTCTCCACTGGACATCAATTTCTGGTTATTTTCTAAACATCTTTAACATAATATCTTGAAATGCAATTAAGTCAAATAAGCACGAGTTTTATTTCCTGATTTACTAGAGAGCTGATTATAATATGCACTATTCAGGTTTTTCATTAACCAGTTTCAAGAATAAATACCTGTGATTTGTGCCCACAGAAAAGAATATCTCAATAGCAGGTATATAAAATGTGAGTAACATTCTAATGGAAAATGATTACTGTGAAATTCATTGCAATGATGATTACAGATTCAGTTCATATTAAGTCATATCCTGAGTTCACTTTCCTTTCTTCTTCTATTATCTTTGATCATGTTTCCATTCTTTTTATGATTCTCCATTTATTTCCAGATAGAAACAATTGATTAGCGTGGTAAGTGATTTTAAACAGAAACCATGTATGCCAAGGGATGAAATGGCAAGAATTCTAGGGTTAGAGAGATTGGTCTACACTTAAAAAGCACCTACATAATTCAGAGCCTCCCAAATGCTGACCAACTTGTGCCTTAGTGCTAGCTCATCATCACCAGCATCCTCAGAAGCAGAGAGCATCTCAGGGTTTTCATTGATTTGACAAAACTGATAAACTTAGTAAAGAAAATAATATTTTATTATAATATATTTGCTAAGAAAATAATCATTTCATTAGTAAAGAAAATAATAGTGGTATGCATAGGTGATTATGCGGCAGTGAGTAGATGTGCCCACTCTAATGGGAGCAAGAAGAGGAAGCTGACTCCACTTTGTTTGAAAGGATAAACCTGAGGCAGCAAAGATAAGTTGAACAGACTTTTGGACTCTGTGGGAGAAGGCGAGGGTGGGACGTTTCCAGAGAACAGCATCGAAACATGTATATTATCTATGGTGAAACAGATCACCAGCCCAGGTTGGATGCATGAGACAAGTGCTCGGGCCTGGTGCACTGGGAAGACCCAGAGGGATCGGGCAGAGAGGAAGGTGGGAGGGGGGATTGGGATGGGGAATACATGTAAATCCATGGCTGATTCATGTCAATGTATGACAAAAACCACTACAATATTGTAAAGTAACTAGCCTCCAACTAATAAAAATAAATGAAAAAAGAAAAAAAAAGCTGTTAATAAAAAAAAAAAAAAGATTAAGTTGGGGGTGGGGGAAATCTCACCTTATCTGGTAACTGTGGATCTCTCTTAGAGTTGGAAATAACATTTGATATCATCTGATTCAACCAACCTCTTCATTTTGCAAATGAGAAATTCAGTATTTGGGGAGACCCATTTCTTTATTATCTTTATAATGTGTTCTAGATACTGTTAAGAAGGCAAACATTACTTTGATTCTTACAAAGACAAGGCAAGCATATAGGAAGTAACTTACTGTACATAAGCCCCCACAAAAATATTTGATAAAAGTGAACAGATATCTTGTCAGGTGTCTCTCATTCAACTAATTATGCCAAGACAAAGGACATTACTACTATGAAAAAAAAAAAAAAAAACAATGGAGCATTGAGAATTGAGAGCCCTGACACTAATAGTTCTGTGAATTTGGAAAGGCTCTTATGTTTCCTCACTTCTAAAATAAGTTGGTGACATGAAACACCCTAAAATTCCAGGGCCATGTTGTCAGGTCATCCCAGTTCACAATGTTGTATACCAAAATATCTGTTGCTTCAAATATAGATTCTAGAGTCACTCCAAAATCACCTGAGATTAAATGTCCCCTATCATTTAAGTTTTTGATTCCTAAAATTTTAAATTCCATGCTTCCTCTTTATCCAGACTTATTATGTATTTTATCTTTTTTCCAAAATCCCCTAAATTGCCTGAGCCATGATTAAGCATTTAGAAGATTCTTAACAAACTTAAACCATAATGAAAAAGCACTCAGAACATACTTGCAGCTACGGAACTTAAAAGCACTGAAACTGCAATATTTACAATACTTGAAACTTAAAGTCATAACAATTCACCAACAGAGGGAAGTAAAACAATCCAAATGTGAAGGAAAATGGTTAAATATTAATATGGTGAGATTTAAATTACAGGTCTGAAAATTCTCCTGAGACATTTTTCTTCTCAATTTGTAGGAAAGTCAGCAATGTTAATACAGATTATCTCTATCAAAGCCTACCTAATTTCATACATTCTTTCTTCAGTGTATTTTTAACTACCTCCTTTTCCTATTTATTGCTCTTGTTGTTTAGTTGCTACGTCATGTCTGACTCTTTTGCAATCCTATGGACCGTAGGCTCCTCTGTCCATGGAACTTCCCAGGCAAGAATACTGGAGTGGGTAGTCATTTCCTTCTCAAACTATTCACTAAATATCTGCTAAGTTCCTATGTTTAAAACTCAATGGCAAAACAAAACAGAAAATGTCAACAGTGTTATTTGTTTGTTTTGTTGTTTATTTATTAGATTGGATGGGTGGACAGGTGGATAAGAAATTTGGGATTGTTTGCACCCATACAGTATCATTTTTCTCTTATAGAGGTCTCAAGATATAAGAAAAGATTATCATTTGATGAGATCTTATATTCCTCCTGGCATGTCAGCATTTAATTAACGACCAGTTCTTTAATATGTTTAATGTGTTCTCAATCAATTCAATTTTCAGTACAGTGATTGATATTGACTTAAAGTACTAGTGTTTCCTATATTTGTTTCACTTAGTTTGTTAAGACCTTATTTTCCTTGGAATATCTTTATGATTGTGTCCCACAAAAATCAATGCTCAAGAACTATAATGAAATTATTCTATAAATTTATTTTACATTCATGTTATCCCTGAAAACAATTTCATTCAAGTCTATGGGATGTTTAATGTTTTAATCCCTGAAAACTTTAATAGTAAAAAGATGTCCATATATTGACTCACTACTTGAATGGGCATGATGCATTAGAACTGATATTACTATAGTACATATTGATTGCATTTATTTTATTTAGTTCCATTCACATAATTTTCACCATTCATCACCCATAAAAATGAATGTCTCTTTCAACTTTCTTTTTAATTCGTTCTGCTTTAGAAATCTCTGCTCCCTCCACTCTTCCACATTTTCCCAAATGGGACCTATGATAAAACACATTTTCACCCATTTCACTAGTTCCATTCACTTACATTTCTCTCCAGTGTATTTCAATATCCCTAATGGTAAAAGTGATGCCCAGCTAACTCCCTGTCCTTCAAGCATATACAAAGTTCTTGTAGAGGCAGGGCCATGCCTTAATGAGATAGTTACTGAACTTAAAAAGTCGTAAATGAAAACCTTTTAAAGGAATGTGACAGGAGTTCTGGTTCAAGATAGTGATGTAAATTTAAGAACTTACCTCCTCCCAGGGACCTGGCAAATCTCCAGATGCTTATGGAACAATTTCCTCTGAAAGGAAATCAAGAAACACGGTATGTGACATCTACACACTGGGGGAAGGAGACAACAACCCACATCAAAACAGGTCAGAGAAGCTGAAACACAACTTTGCCATCAACCTCACCCCTAGCTCAGCAACCCACAACGGGGAGGGAACTCCCCACTCACAGCTGCCCCCTGAGGAGCAGAGGGCTTGGGCCCCACCCCTGGTACCCCAACTTTTACGTCCTGCTCTCTCTGCTTCCACTTTTCCCAGTTAAGATTTGTTCACGTCACTACTTCTTTTCTTTTTATTTATCTTTTGGGCTTCCCAGGTGGTGCTAGTGGTTAAAAAAAACCATCTACGACTTAAGAGATGCAGGTTCGAGTTCGATCCCTGGGTCAGGAAGATCCCCTGGAGAAGGAAATGGCAACCTACTCCTGTATTCTTGCCTGGAGAATCCCATGGTCAGAGGAGCCAGGTGGGGTACAGTCCATTATTACTTTTTTGGCCATACCACACGGCCTATGGGATCTCAGTTCCCCCACCAGGGATCAAACCCCAGTCTCCTGCATTGGAAGTGCAGTCTTGGACCTCCAGGGAAGTGCCCAGTATCACTACTTCTAGAGTTTGATCCTCTGCAGTTACTTTTATTTTTCTTCTTTTGAAGCCTATATTGTCATCTTAAGTTCTTCTGTACCCTGGCTTAATCAGTGGATCCTAGAACTCTTTCCTTACTTCCCAGGTCTGAATTAGATAACCTTTAGTGGACTCTTGAAGGACTTGATGTTTATGATTATTTTGCACTTAAAAAGATCTCCTGACCATTGTCTATTCACCCGTACAACTCCTCCTTCAGACTCTCAATGACTTGAAGGTAAGGACTGTGTCCTTCTCCTTTGTATTCTTGACCTGTAATATATTTCCTGACTTAGGGCGCTGAAGATACTCAAATATTTGCTAAATGAATGAGTCACTGAACCGTGCACCACTGTCTTCCATTCTCATCACAGGTGACAGGATTCAGGAGAAGCTACCCCAACATATGGCACATTGGCATACTGAAGGTTTAGAGTTGAAAGAATCTGAGAAATGACAGATGCAGAAAAGATTCTCTGATCTTCTCCCAAGACAGGTCACAAGATTCTCCAGTGAGAGAAGTGTCCTCCCTACTCCCGGGGGAAAGGAGTGCCCTCACCTCCAAAGACAGAGGGACCCCCCAAGAGCTATCACAATGAACAGGCCTCACTGTCTCCCCCACTCACTGCATTGGGCTTCACTCTTTCTCAGCCCATCACATTTTCCCACAACTCCTCACCAAACCTCACACACAAACAGGCCTAAGCACCGCTTTGGTTCCTCATGAAGGCTCCCAGGTCACATGAAACATATTGAATCCGTGTGTATGCTTTTCTCTTATTAATCAGGGGCTTCAGCCAAGAATTCAGAGGGTAAAGAAACAATATTTTCTCACACACACACAGAATCCCTATGGACAGAGGAGTCTGGCAGGCTGCAGTCCACGGGACTGCGAGAGTGGGACACGACTTAGCGACTAAATCACCAACCACCACCACCTACACACAGGTATTCCCCAACTTCTGTCCTTCCCCAGAAACTTGAGCACCTGGATACCCAGCCTCTTCACTCCATCCACTCCCCCATCACTTCCCCTTTACAGACATCCCCTTTTCTTACCTGTGTTAGGGGAAGCACACTGATTGAAACCGCCCACCCTGGCCAGGCACCATAGTAACCATTTGCATGAGTTGTTTTATGGCAGGAGATCCTGATAAGGAATACGGAACTAATAAGCCACCACCAGCCAGAGGAGTTTGGAAAGGTCGAGAGGAGACACTACCTGTCCGTCCACTTCCCAGAATCCCTCTTGCTAGCATTCATCTTGGCTGAGCGATGCGTGCGCCACCAGGAAAGACTCTGAATTAGAATGATTGGCCAAAGACCACCCAGAAACTAATCCCGTCACCATAAAACCCAAGACTGCGAGCCACGCGGCAGAGCAGTTCTCCTGGGTTCCCTTACCCTACTGCTCTCCACCTGGGTGCCCTTCCCAAAAAAATCTCTTGCTCTGTCAGCACGTGTCTCCTCGGACAATTCTTTTCCGAGTGTTAGACAAGAGCCCAACTTCGGGCCCTGGAAGGGGGTCCCCCTTCCTACAACACCTGGATTTATTCAAATCCTCTCCTGATGTTCTCCACTGCATCCTCTCTTCTCCAAAGCACCTGGCTCCGCACCGTGAACTTGAGGCATCGGGAAGCACAGATGCTGAGGAGCAGAGCAGCACCAGGCTCGCAGACAGGCTCCAACGGTCTGACCTAGCTGACCTCAGCCAATCATCTCTGCAGCCATGAACGCAAGTCTCTGCACCAGTTAGAACTCTCTGATTGAATAGCCATTCCTTCTTCTGCCTTCCTGTCCCCCTTTTCCCTGGGACTTCCAGGAAATAAAGCAAACCACACCCAAATCCCAGCGTCACTAGACCTCATACTGATGCACATGTGTGCATGCTAACTCATTCAGTCATGTCTGACTCTTTGCAACCCCACAGACTGTAGCCCACCAGGCTCCTCTGTCCATGGGATTCTCCAGGCAGGAATACTGAAGTGGGTAGCCATGCCCTCCTCCACAGGATCTTCCCAACCCAGGCATCGAACCTGAGTCTTTTACATCTCCTGCATTGGCAGGCGGGTTCTTTACCACTAGTGCCACCTGGGAAGCCCCCTGATTCACAGTTATAAGTTTTGTGGCTTCACTTTCTTTGGGTCTTCAGAAAGCTTTACACTCAGCCCCTACATGCACTGGACTGTAAGATTGGCTCACATTTTCATCCCTCCATACCCTCTTCATGGATCACGGTTGGGTAAACCATGGCAAAGGCTTCAATGCCCCGGTTCAGTGGGGCTTGGCCATATGTTTGCTTTCACTGAGAGAATGTGAGTGAAAGTCAACTTTTAGCTACAAGCAGCACAAGTTTCTGTTTTTCCCTTTGAATTTCTGGCATCCTCCACAAGAAGGACAAGCCTCAGGTAGCCACTGACCTCTGAACGAAAGACCTTTGGAGCTGACCTGAACTCAGTGCACGACCAGAGACAGAACCACACTAGCTGATCAGCAGAGCAATGACCCAGAAATTAACCAATGTTATTTTAAGCCAATGAGATTTAGGGTTTGGTTGTCAGGCCGCTTTACTTCTATAAAAACCAGACTGACACATCATGCTTGAGGTATGTTCACTCTGACTTATAAACCAGTGGGCCTTAGCCAGTGGCATACAGTATAAGGGCAGATTCCTGTTTTGAAAGCATGTGTGTTCAATCTAATAAAGATTTTAGAAATATCTCAAAAAGGAGAGGCTCATATTTTACAGTTCACTGGAGTTTTATGATGATTTGGATTGGTTATTGTTAGTGCTACTGACCAGGGTCCATACTGATCATTCTCTGCTATTAATCTACATGGTTCAGGTCCTATCTGCCATCTTTCTTTTCCTGGATGCATTTAGTCATAGTCACGAATATAGCCTATTTTATGTGGATGCTCAGCTCAAATGGTACCCATAAACTTCAGATTCATTATATCTTCACTGTTCAAGTAAGGCTTTTTAAGATTTGTGAAGAGCCATAACGAATATGATTAGCATTAAAAATACATGATATACAGTGAGGAATTGAATGTGGAAAAATAGCTTTGTCGTCAGGTAAAGAAGGTATAAAATAGACTAAAAGCTTTGTGTTTACTTAAAAAAAAAAAAAAAAAAAAAAACACTTAAGGTCCTAATCCCTGACATCATTAAAACTGCTTTTTTTTCATTTCATATTTTTATTCCAAGTATAGGTTCAGATTCCACATAAAATTAGGACTCAGGTAGCTTGGGAATTAAGAAACAGATGGGGAACTCAGAGTCTAAAATTGAAATCCTTATTCAGCCTCTGATTTACTGTGTGATACTTAAAATTTTGCTCTTTCATCTCTACAATGAGTTGATTTGGCAAAACATTCCAGTCAGCAATGTTTAAGCTATTTTGGAGTCAGCCTATTCAGTGTGTCTTTAGATATCTCAGAGGTAGTTGAAAAATTCTCAAAATATTGAAAAACAAATCTATCTTTAGTTCAGTTTAATTTATGATTTAAGCATTAAAACATAGAAATTTTTGAATGGTTGATTCTTTGTGATACAGCTAATCTTAGTAGGGGCTTCCTTGGTGGCTCAGATGGTAAACAATCTGCCTGCAATGCAGGAGACCCAAGCTCAATCCCTGGGTCAGGATGATCCCCTAGAGAAGGGAATGGCTATGCATTCCAGTATTCTTGCCTGGAGAATCCCTTGGACAAAAGAGCCTGGCGGGCTACAGTCCATGGGGTCACAAAGAGTTGGACATAACTGAGTGACTAAGCATACACACAGAGAAACAAACCAAATTTTAGAAACAGTCATGGATTTCTTCCTATTTTGAAGCTGAATAACATTTGGAAGCTACTCAGCCTTTTCAAGCCTTGGTTTCTTCATTCTGGGAAACATAATAACAAAAGCCCCTGAGGACTTGATGGAAGCAGCAGAAGCATACGAAACATTGTATGATATAAAAGCACCAGGTCTGGCACAGCTACAGCCCAACAAATGAAAACAAGGTTTACTCATAGAGGACTGAAATCATAGAACAATAAGGCATCCAAAACTTGAAGCTCAGGTGTTGTGAGAAATGAATGGACTGCTCAGAGAAGTGAATAAATAAGATTTACGTGGCTTCTGGGATTGATTGTATGAGCACAGTGATTGAGTTCATATTTGTGACAGTTGAGGAATAGGAGAGCAGATAGAGGGCTCTGCTTGAAACACCTTCTTAAGGAATCAAGAAGGACAAAGTAAAACACCCAGGGTCTCCAATTCCAAATGCGCTATAAACACAAATGTCATCACAAACCAAAGTTACCAGGATGGTCTGATGGTTCAACATCCTTATTCAACCACATGCTTCAAGCCCCGTTCAACCTAATTCTCATCACCAAGCTGGAAGAACAGTCATCCTTCTCATAAATGCCAGTGATCTTAACCTTCAACATTGAAAACCTGCTCTGTACCAGGTACCATGCTACCCACCTGACATAATTTTAGGTCTCTCAACCAAGCTGAAGGGATGCTAGAATTCCAGTTTTAAAGATGAAGAAATGGGCTATCAGAAAGGTGATACATAGCAAAGGAACAGAGCAGGGATCAAAACCCAAGTTAATCTGACTCCACAATTTGTGTGAATTCTAAAGACTGTGACATGAGTGGTACAGTCACAGCATGCTAAAGTTTGGGGTGAGAAGGAAGCTGAGACCTCATTGACTCCAAACTGCTTTTTATAGATGAGGAAACTAAATTCCGGATCAGAATCACCCAAGTGACTTATCCAAGTTCACAAAATAGGAAGGGACAAAACCAAGGTTAGAATCCTTTCCACATGATCCTTCTGCCTCCTTCAGTAAAATTCTACCATAAAGGCATACATTAGCAAGCCAAACCACACTGTTTCTATGACTCCCAGGCCTCAAGCCTGCCTGCCTCTCTCCCTCTGTGTGTGTCTCTCCCACATACAAATACACACACACACACACACACGGGAAAAACTGAACTCTGCGACTACCAGGTTCATGCCACTGAAACCTTGTGCATAAATTCAAAACTCAGCTATAAAATTTCTCATATGGTACCTCGATGAATATTTTTGAAAAAAAAAAAACTGCATTTACTTATTCAGTGGACTGTGACGAAATTGCAGGCAGTGGGCACAGTTTTTTATAAACTCCTTCTTGGAAGAGGTGAGGATGAGCTTAAAGAGGTGCAAAGAGTCAGGGTAAAGTCTCATATTGCATGCATGCTATTGTAAGGAGGCTGCGCTCTGAGGGGGCAGCAGGCAGACTGTTGAAGAATCAGCTTCCACCAGCTTTTCTTTATCACTCAGGAAGTCAGCTCTTAGCAGCTTCACTTAGAGTGTCACGATCCTGGTGACTGTGAATGGGAACAGGCTTGCAGACAAGCTTTTTGACGTCAGCCTGACAGTTTGTTTGCCAACGTGATTCTGGGGTTGCGCTCCTGTGTACGGGGCCAACAAGAAGGCTTTTGTTGTTGTTGTTGTTATTGTACTGCTCTGGATACATTATTCTGCAAATAACAGTCAAAGTTGAAAGCTCTGTCTCCGGGCTGGGCCATAACAAAATACATTTTGAAGGCTGCTTGAGTCTGACTCCATAAGGCTTCAATGCTGACATCCATGAAGCCTGTGCTCCATCCTCCTACTATGTCCAATTCAACTTTTTCCAGAACTTTCCACATGCTCACTCCATCACATTTTGTTTCATTTCATGTTCTAGTTGCTATGGATTGAATGTTTGTGTCCCAGCTCCCAAATTCATATGCTAAAGCCCTAATTCCTAGTGCCCTGGTATTTGGAGGCGGGGCCTTTGAAGGGTGATTAG